TGTAATACCTGCAGAACCATCCAAAAAATTTTGTTCCATGTATACCTTTTTTTTATTAATTCCATATATTTTTATTAGAGTATAAGAAACAATATATAACATACACGACACTTATGTTAATATAATTAAAGGAATCAATGTTTCCGTATTCTGCTTATTCAGTTACAATAAAGGTAACACACAATTACAAATCTCACAGATATGTATTAGTAAAATCAACATTTCAGTGTAACCCTCTCAGTGAAATGAGATCATCCAACAAAGCTGAAATAAAATGTGTCAATAGGTTTTTTTTTTCTGCAACCCTTTATTGCCTTATCATATTTTCATGAAGTGTTTCAGTTTGGATGAAAGGGTAGGGTTTGGGCTGGAAAAAAAAAGTGTTCCCTTGAAAAATATTGGACCTGGGCAGCCTGTTAAGCTTTTCATTTCTCAATTTATGTTATCAGAGCAAAGCTGGACAAATTAAAACACTCAATCCATCTCTGATGTTTCTGATTCTCTGCTTCGCATGCAATTATCTGGTTAAAGGCAGCTCAGCCCTTGGCTCCCTACTCCCTGTTTCATGTCTTAAGGTTCCTTCTTGATTTGTGAGATCTGGGCTTCAAAGCGTCTCTAACAAAGTCTGTCAAAAGCCAGTAGATGGCAGGACCGATCCAGGGCTTTGCTTCCCTTGGCACCATGGACACTCCCAAAATGCAAAAAGAGGTGTGTCTATTCCCATTCCAGCTTGATAGCCTCAGACAGCAGTTTTCCAGGGGGTCAAAGTAACTCCTCTAGGATCAAGGAAGGATTCAGAGCCATCTTCATTCCAAACAGCTGAGACCCGCAGCACCTCACCACTGAAGATGACAGTGAAAGCACAGCCCAGCATCATGGTGCAAAAGCATTAGGATCACAGGAGCAAGTGGCTTGTGATGGGACCCTAAACCTCCAGGTATGCAGATGTCCACCATATCTGGCTTTCCTGGACACAGGAGAGCATGGATGTCTATACCTCACTCCAGCTTGGAGGCACAGCCACCTGGACCAGAGCTACCAGGCTTCCCACAGGGGTGGTGGGACCATAACCTCCTTCATGGCAAATAGGAAAATACTTGTCCTGGGAGGCAATCAAGTAACCCATAACTTGAGTAAATTAACACCAAGCAAGGACATTCTTTGAGGAACAATGTGGATCCTTTGAGTAATGATTAAGCAACTGACCTTATTTGTTATGTCTGTTTGTGCAAGGAAGTCACATCAGGTTTGCGTTTTCCAAAAGAAGAAATTTTGCCCTTTGACAAAGAAAAATTCTCAAAAACAGTTGGAACTAAGAACTTTGTTCATTTTTCAGTCCTCCTTTTCCAGTGAACCTGGGTGGAAAGGGCTGGTGTTGCAGTAAGCTTGGAGCACGTACAGAAAAATGAGAGCCCTTGTGATGCTGGAATAGTGGTAGATGGCAGCAGCTGCCGTTGAAATACAGCCATTTCCAGGATGGAAGCACAGAAACCATCTTCTCATTAGCATGCTCCAAAATGGGACAGGTATTTGACTTAAGATCTTCTTATTTTTCCAGTGAAAACTGTTCCAGGATATTTTAAGCTTGTACAGAGCAAAGCTGCCTCCCCACATAACTTCTTGACTTGTCAGAAAAGGTGAAGATCATGAGTTTTCTGCTGAGATTTCAAGTTCTAATTCCGCAGTCCAAGGAAATATATTGAAAACACTTAAGGGTTGTCCCACCATGGCCCTCAAGTTCCAAACCAAGCATTTGATTTAACAAGCCACCAGTTTTAATGCTCTATAAATGCTGGGCTCTTGCTATTTATTTTCTCCCTATTATTAATGTTTTTAATTACTACAGCTGCACATTTTCATGTCTTTCACTCCTGGGCTTTACAACAGCTGAGGTTCTCACATGATTTCTTGTGCTGGGGATTTGGGGCAAATGGAAAAAAAAAAAAGTATAGTAGGACCAGAAATTGGGAGAGTTGACACAACTGATCATACAACGCTTGGGATTAAACTGGACCAGTTAGAACAAGTCCAGAGAAGGGCCACCAGGATGATCCAAGGGCTGGAGCACCTCTCCTATGAAGACAGGCTGAGAGAGTTGGGGCTGTTCAGCCTGGAGAAGAGAAGGCTCCAGGGAGATCTTGTAGCAGCCTTCCAATACCTGAAGGGGCTACAAGAAAGCTGGGGAGGGACTTTTCATAAGGACAGCTAATGACAAAACAAGGGGAAATGGGTTTAAACTGAAAGAGGGGAGGTTTAGATGAGATATTAGGAAGAAGTTCTTCACTGTGAGGGTAGTCAGACACTGGAACAGGTTGCCCAAGGAAGCTGTAGATGCCCCCTCCCTGGAAGTGTTGAAGGCCAGGCTGGATGAGGCTTTGAGCAACCTGGTCTAGTAGAAGGTGTCCCTGCTGATGGCAGGGGGGTTGGAACTAAATGATCTTTAAGGTCCCTTCCAATCCAAACCATTCTATGATTCAAGAACACGTGTGAACTGACTTTCTGACCTGTCCCCTGGAAATACCATTAATATAACTTATTTGTCCAGGGTACGTAGCCTGCTGAATGCTCTTCCCACCAGCCCTTGCTCCCTTGTATTACCAAGTCCTTGGCACAAGCAAACTCTGACAAGCAGAGATAGGAAGAAGATAGCCACTGGAAGAAGCAACCAGGTCTTAAAACCCTGCTCATAGCTTCAACCTATGGGATTATCCAATGTGGCATCCTCAAGAGCCTTGTGAAGGTGCAAACAGGCATCAGGACACAACTAGGCTGATGGCTTTTTTTAAGTTTAGCTTTTTGCTCATAGCAAAGGTGTTCTGAGGGTAATTTGAGTCCAAAACCAAGATACCAGGTGGCTAGAAAAAGAGTTACAGCCTGATTACTTGCAAGGCAGAGCACTCTGGGTGTTGCCTTGGTCTCATCCTAGAGCATCACCATCCCTTCCATCTGCAGGAATCCCACAGGGACTACAGCATCTACTCCCAGCAAGTGATGAGGCACAAATTAACCTTGCAAATGAGGTTGCTAACCCTCTTAGGAGGAAGGCACAGGGAAGCTAGAGAATATTTACCCCATTTCCAATAACCTTTTCCCCAGTCTTCCCTGTGCTCTATGTGCATAGTAGAGGTTCGTGGTACACCTCAAGCCTTGTGGTCCTAGCAGAGGTCCCATCAAGTGAGGGAGGATGCATTAACCAGAGGAAGGCACATCTCAGGCCCAACGAGACAATAGAGCAAGAAGGGTACATCCTTACCAAACTCATCATCTAATTGCAGGTCACATCACAATGACCAGTCCCTCCTGTTGTAAAATCTGTCATTAGCATCTGTGTCACTTTAATTAAAAGATGAGGAGAAGGTGGAGGGAAAAAAAACAGGTAACCACTTTTGTTGCAAATATTTCTAAACATCTGCACACCATCTTTCTAAAATAAGCTGTTTATCATTCACTTAAGTGGGGATAGTGGTATAATTGAGCCATGTGTGCAGCTTGAAGGCTTTTGTTTTTCACCCAAAATAGGACAACCACGTACAAGAAGGGCACAGCTAAAGACTGCCAATGCTACACCTGATTTTTGCTGCTAGAAGAGCAAAAAAGGCCCAGTGCAATCAGTGGAAGTGATAGCAAGCTTTCACCTGACAGTTTAAGGCTCAGTTGTGTCTTGTTTTGTGTCTAGCAGGTCCCCAGGTAGGCAAAGCAGGTAGGAAACCAGCACGATGCAGAGATGGCAGGAGGATACATCTCCCATGGGACGGCTGAGAACTTCCAGGAGCCATGGTGCTGAAAGACCTGGGATCTGAGAGACAGCAGGATGGGCAGGTTTGGTGGTGAAGTCATCTTCTGCAGCTCACGTGCATCATCAGCCAGGGACTGCAGGTTGAACTTGAAGATCTGAGTGTTGACATCTTTGCCTCTGACTTCACTTAATCTTGCAAATCAGACCTGTTGCTCTGGATCATTTAGGTATCGATGTTCTTGTCTATCACCATCACAAGTCCAAAGTGGGGAAATCGAGGCACCAAGTCCTTGTAATATGCAGACTAATTCTTAGAGGTCCTGTTCCCAGTGTGCTTCCTCAATTAGTCATAATGGGGTCAACTCAGACCCCAAGAACTGGCATTTTTCATTAAAATGCACCCAGATAATGCAATTCCCAAAAGAGGTTAAACAAGCTGGCCCAGGGCTCTTTATCAGAAAGGACAGGAACAGGGAGAAGATGGACTTGCTGCTCAGAGGTGAACTGGAAGGAATGCTGAGAGGAAGCACTCAAAAGCTGCTCAAGTGGGTAAGAAGCCCTCGTGCCGGGCATAATATTTGGGTTTCTTCTAAGAGCATTTCTAATCTCTCTGTCTGGAGCAAGGAAATACACACAGCACACGTCCCATCTCAGGTAAGAACAGGAGCATGTTTATTCAGGTCTGGCACTTACAGAGCTTGGAAGGACAAGGTACACGTCATTTGTTTTCCAGAAAAGTTAGCCCAGGATCAGAAGAAACGAAACAATTTTATAAAAAGAGACTGTAGCTGCAGGGGCTGGGAATGTGTCTCCCTTCGGGTCATGCATTCCCAGTGCTCGGACCACCCATGTGCTGGGGACATGCTGGTGCCAGGCACCTCCACGGAGGTGAGAGGCAGGAATGTCTGAACTCTTGACCAGGTGGTATCTGGGATTAATCAGTTCTCAGCAAATCCCAGCCTTGTTTTAATCAACCTTAGAAACGAGGAGGGAGGATTAGGTATAAAAGCAGAAACCCTTCCAAAACGATTCACCTTTGCCAAGGAGGTGTGAGAGTGCAGTGGGGTATGTCCACAGAAGGAGGAGAACAGCTTGGCCAAATCACCCAGGTCTCCGACGCTGGAAGAGCATAAAGTCTGGGAAATAACCACCTTGGAAGCCTGCTGAGAAGTAGAGGATCTCCTTGCAGACAGTGACAGAGAAGATATTGGTTAAAGAGACCTGTGACAGCCTCTGGAAGACGGCTCTTCCTCGGCCAGCCCCATCACTCGCGAGCCCTGAGGACGTAGATGAAGCTAACGAGGACCCCCAAGGCCAGGACCATGTAGCTGGCTTTCACACTGCTGGAACCACTGATGTTGCAGAGGAAGGAGTCACAGCAGTAAACAGAGGCAGCCGCTATGCCGAGGTTAATCCCAGCGCTGGGGCAAATGGGAGAGCATCCTTTGGAGATGGACTGGCCAGACTTGCCACCTGAATTTAGGTTGGGGCAGGAGGAAAGGAAGAAAAGCAAAAAGGAAATGGGTTTATGATCTTTCTCGGCTTTCTGATGACCCATTCTGCAAGGGAAATAACAGCACTGAAATAGCTGAAGCGTCACAGGTGGCACAGAGACAATGAAGTGCTTCTCGGCATCAGGCTACGACAGTAATTTCAGCCAGCCCACATATTTCAAGGAACACCCATGATAACCTCCCACACAAACTCTAGAGACCATGCAACACCCCAGGGACACCCTTTCCAGGCTGTCAGCCAAAGTTTGGCCGTTACGGCTCTGGTGAGGAATGTCAAAAATCCCCATCGAGCTTGACCTTGGGACTCCTCAAGCAAGACAAGGAGTAAGGGGCATATAGAGCACCAGGGAGGTACTTGTGAGGGAAGGCTACGTTTCAAACATCAGCTGTGAGAGACATACAGGACCCATTTAGCAGCAGGAAAGAGGAAACCATTAGCACTGTGCTAAGAGGACAGGTTTATAAAAGCTCCCAGCCTCCATTTCTGCATGCAAGACCTGCCCACGTTGTGGATCATGCAACTTGGGCATGCAACACTCCTCCCTCCTGCAAGGGAAAGCAAGGCAAGCCAGGTTGAGCTCTGGTTTCAGCAATGGTGCCAGGAGACCTGCCAGAGCAGCCTGCTTCCCTAGCAGCAGCAGCCACAAAGCACAGAACCCCCACTAGATCTTTCCTGGTGCTTATGGAGAAAACCTGCAAATCTCCCCTCCTGGCAATCCCACCTCAACCATGAAGAGTGAAGAAGCAAAGGTGGGACTCAGGGATAAATAACCCAAACACAAGGCAAAAGCAGGAAGGGCAACCCTGGAGCTTCCTACAAAGGAAGCCTGTAGCAGCCTCCACACTTTCACTTACTCATCAGCAACCTCCCCACCCCCACCTCAAAATTCCCCTCGGACTCTCAGCATCACTGCAGACACGTGGGCTTTAATATGACTCTGTCTGGCAGCAGATCCCTCGTAAAAATTCCCTCGGGATGCTCTGACACTGAGCTGGCTAAGCAGAACTTTCCCCTTTTTTCCAGCCAAAGGAAGGAAAGCTTTCCTGCAGCTTAGCAGGTGACCCAAGAGAACAGCCAAGAGGGGCAGGTCCTATCACCACTCACCGATTCCCATTCCAACGTACGTCGTCACACAGTGGTTTTCATTGTCCCCGCACTTGACAGGTTTCAGGCAGGCCCAGTTGGAGGATGCATCCGAGCATGAAAAGCAGATGAGTGTGTGGGCTGCAAGAGAAAGGAACACTTCAGTTAGGGGCTGGTGGAAAGACCTCCTCACTTGGTGGTCCCGACCTGTGACACATGGTGCACACACCGCATCTGGTCACAGCTGTATCAATCTGCAACAGTTTGTTTTGTTTTTTTTTTCCTGAAGAAAAATTGTCCAAGTGAAGGGTTCAAACATTTCAAGCTCTTGGTAGGATCAACAGTCAGATAAAGCCTCAATACAACCACAGGTCAGCCTGGTACTTTATGGCATGCTCCTGTTTGCACCAAGAAGTGAAGGGTTTAGAGGGGAAGCTGGATGAGGAGAGGCTGAAGGCACCTGGTTTGTTCAGCCTGGAGAAGAGGAAACTGGGAGGAGACCACACAAGGGGAAGAGGAGGGGCAGGTGCTGATCTCTTCTTTCTGGCCACCAACGAATGCCAGGAGCAGAGGAAATGGCAGGTAGATGTGGCAGGGGAGGGTGAGGTTGGCCATGAGGAAAAGGTTCTTGAGGCAGAGGGTGGTGGAGCACTGGAACAGGCTCCCCAGGGAGGTGCTCATGGCACCAAGCCTGACAAGATTCCACAAGCATTTGGCCAAAGCCCTCAGACACATGGTCTGAATGTTGGGATTGTTCTGTGCAGGGACAGGAGTTGGACTCCATGATCCTTGTGGGTCCCTTTCAACTCACAACAGTCTATGATTCTAAGAGCAGGTTCAAGCTACAGTTATCAACTTGAAACTAAACAGAGGCAAGTGCAGGCCTGCAACCTGGAGCCTGAGATTTGGGTTTATTCAGCTCAGCTACCGTGGACACTGATGGGAAATGGTCCAGGTGTGATCATGAGTTCAAGCTTCCTGTGACCTGCCTTTGGCAGCAGGGCACAAAGCTCAGGCTTCCACACGGTGGAAATGATTTCTCAGCTAGAGCAAGCCCAGCACTGCAGCAAGACCTGCAAGGACTTGCACTGTCCCACTAACCAGGGAGTTACAGCACTATGAAGGCAGCAGATTCAACCAACTTCTTTTTTAATTTGGAGCAAGGGGGATAGCAAAAAAAGCATGCCTTCCTCCACGGTAGGTCCCCTAAAATGGTTTATCCTACACCAGCAGGATGGATTGCACCAGTTGGTTCCCATCCCTCATCTTTCAGATCTGCCCAAGAAAGAAGAAAGATTGGAAAATAGCATTCAGTGGTGGGAAATGGCTGCAGAAACTGCCTGGACCAGTGAGTCAGCAGGGACATGTGCACTTTGCAGTGGATGGATGATCTTCTTGTATTTTACATACAAGAATATCACATCCACACTGCAACTGTTGACCTACATATGCAGACAGATCAGGTCTGTTCTCGATGTTTCACGGGCTCTGATTTTTGAGCACTCAGACAGCGAGCCCATCCAGGAGGCACTGCCTTTCTCTTCTGTATTTACATGATGTGAAATGAAGTGGGGGCTGATTCAGGATGGGAAGTGCAAAGCAG